CCAGACCAGGACTGAACCAGGACCAGACCAGGACTGAACCAGGACCAGACCAGGACCAGACCAGGACTGAACCAGGACTAGACCAGGTCTTACCGCAGCGCACAGACCCGGGGGGGGCTCGGGTTCCGGGGATCTCTCTGCCGTCGGGGTCCACGCACCAGCACAGCGCCCCCTGCTGGCACTGGACCGGACTGAAGGACCCGTCAGGTTCACACGAGGCTCCGCCCACAGACTCACAGGGGGAGGGGCCTGAGGAGACGCAGTGAGGTCACAAACGCACAAAAGTACAAACGCACAAAAGTACAAACGCACAAAAGTACAAACGCACAAAAGTACAAATGCATAAAAGTACAAAAGTACAAACGCACAAAAGTACAAAAGTACAAACACACAAAAGTACAAACACACAGCAGAACTGGATGTTGAGACGATGTTCGTTTGTTTGTCACAGTTTAAATCGTCTCTGAGGCTGGAGAACTTTATTCAGTTTTTAAAAGTCGATAAAATCTGACGTCACTTAGACAAAAAGTGATCAGCCCCAAACCCGAGAGAGACGAGTCACTGAGTAATATTTAACACTGAGTAACATTTAACACTGTGTAATATTTAACACTGTGTAATATTTAACACTGAGTAATATTTAACACTGTGTAATATTTAACACTGAGTAACATTTAACACTGAGTAATATTTAACACTGAGTAATATTTAACACTGTGTAATATTTAACACTGTGTAATATTTAACACTGAGTAACATTTAACACTGTGTAATATTTAACACTGTGTAATATTTAACACTGAGTAATATTTAACACTGAGTAATATTTAACACTGAGTAATATTTAACACTGTGTAATATTTAACACTGAGTAATATTTAACACTGAGTAATATTTAACACTGTGTAATATTTAACACTGAGTAATATTTAACACTGTGTAATATTTAACACTGAGTAATATTTAACACTGAGTAATATTTAACACTGAGTAATATTTAACACTGAGTAATATTTAACACTGTGTAATATTTAACACTGTGTAATATTTAACACTGAGTAATATTTAACACTGTGTTAATATTTAAACACTGAGTAATATTTAACACTGTGTAATATTTAAACACTGTGTAATATTTTAACACTGAGTAATATTTAACACTGTGTAATATTTAACACTAACACTGAGTAATATTTAACACTGTGTAATATTTAACACTGAGTAATATTAACACTGTGTAATGTAATATTTAACACTGTGTAATATTTAACACTGAGTAATATTTAACACTGAGTAATATTTAACACTGTGTAATATTTAACACTGTAATATTTAACACTGAGTAATATTTAACACTGAGTAATATTTAACACTGAGTAATATTTAACACTGTGTAATATTTAACACTGAGTAATATTTAACACTGTGTAATATTTAACACTGTGTAATATTTAACACTGTGTAATATTTAACACTGAGTAATATTTAACACTGAGTAATATTTAACACTGTGTAATATTTAACACTGTGTAATATTTAACACTGTGTAATATTTAACACTGAGTAATATTTAACACTGAGTAATATTTGACACTGTGTAATATTTAACACTGTGTAATATTTAACACTGAGTAATATTTAACACTGAGTAATATTTAACACTGTGTAATATTTAACACTGAGTAATATTTAACACTGTGTAATATTTAACACTGAGTAATATTTAACACTGTGTAATATTTACACTGAGTAATATTTAACACTGAGTAATATTTAACACTGAGTAATATTTAACACTGAGTAATATTAACACTGTGTAATATTTAACACTGATGTGTAATATTTAACACTGTGTAATATTTAACACTGAGTAATATTTAACACTGAGTAATATTTAACACTGAGTAATATTTAACACTGAGTAATATTTAACACTGTGTAATATTTAACACTGTGTAATATTTAACACTGTGTAATATTTAACACTGAGTAATATTTAACACTGTGTAATATTTAACACTGAGTAATATTTAACACTGAGTAATATTTAACACTGTGTAATATTTAACACTGAGTAATATTTAACACTGTGTAATATTTAACACTGTGTAATATTTAACACTGAGTAATATTTAACACTGTGTAATATTTAACACTGAGTAATATTTAACACTTGTGTAATATTTAAACACTGTGTAATATTTAACACTGTTTAACACTGTGTAATATTTAACACTGTGTAATATTTAACACTGTGTAATATTTAACACTGTGTAATATTTAACACTGAGTAATATTTAACACAGTAATATTTAACACTGAGTAATATTTAACACTGAGTAATATTTAACACTGAGTAATATTTAACACAGTAATATTTAACACTGAGTAATATTTAACACTGAGTAATATTTAACACTGTGTAATATTTAACACAGTAATATTTAACACTGAGTAATATTTAACACTGAGTAATATTTAACACAGTAATATTTAACACTGAGTAATATTTAACACTGAGTAATATTTAACACTGAGTAATATTTAACACTGAGTAATATTTAACACAGTAATATTTAACACTGAGTAATATTTAACACAGTAATATTTAACACTGAGTAATATTTAAAGTAATATTTAATATTTAACACTGAGTATATTTTAACACTTGTATATTTACACTGAGTAATATTTAACACTGTAATATTTAACACTGTAATATTTAACACTGAGTAATATTTAACACTGTGTAATATCTTGGCTCTTTTCTGTTTATTTATTTTATTCTGTTTTCTTTTGTTCTGTCCCACGTGTTTGTGCAGAAACAGAACTCACTGAACCAGGACTAGACCGGGTCTAGACCGGGTCTAGACCGGGTCTAGACTAGACCGGGTCTAGACCGGGTCTAGACCGGGTCTAGACCCGGTCTAGACCGGGTCCGTACTCACATGTGAAGTTGCCCGTGTGCAGGAGGCGCAGCGCGAGGAGGCGTCTCTTCAAGACTCTGTAAATGTTCGACTCAGAGAAACTTCGTCCAGACCTGAGTCCAGAAAACGCCGAGTCATAGACCTGATCCAGAACCAGCTCCAGACCTGGACCAGAGGGACAGGTGAGACAGGTGCAAACAGGTGCAGACAGGTGAGACAGGTGCAGACAGGTGAGACAGGTGCAAACAGATGAGACAGGTGAGACAGGTGCAAAATGATGAGACAGGTGAGACAGGTGCAAACGGGTGCAGACAGGTGAGACAGGTGCAGACAGGTGCAGACAGGTGAGACAGGTGCGAGCAGATGAGACAGGTGAGACAAGTGCAGACAGGTGTAGACAGGTGCAGACAGGTGTAGGCAGGTGAGACAGGTGAAAACTGTTGCAGACAGGTGCGAGCAGATGAGACAGGTGAGACAGGTGCAGACAGGTGAGACAGATGTAGACAGGTGCAGACAGGTGTAGACAAGTGCAGACAGGTGTAGGCAGGTGCAGGCAGGTGCTGACAGGTGCACTGACCTGTGTCCTGGAGTTCTCGTCCTTTTTTGTCGGCGCAGAAACAAAACGCAGAAACATCAGGAAAAATCTTCCTGAAACTGGAGAAACTCTGAAACGCCTCTGGAAACCTGAAGAGAAACACGTCGAGAACAACGACGGACGAGATACAAAAAACAACAAATATGAAAATGTTTAAACGAAGATTAAAAAGAAAAGAAGAATTTCAGTTTCATTTGTGGTTTGAAAGTGACTGAAACATTTTAAATCATTTCTTTATTTAGTGTTTAGAGAAACGTGACGTTTTTGTAAAAATAAAGGTTTTCTTCTCCACATTCCTGCTCAGAAAAGATTGATTTATTTTTCTACATTATATTTGTGATTAATAAACTGAGATAATAATGAAGTGTCACTGAAACATGACGACGTTTATCATTTATCATTTATCTCGTCCTCGTCCTCGTGGTCTCACCTGTGGACGGCGGCGCTCAGGTCGATCTCTCGTCTGTCGGTGGAGTTGATGAGTCGACACTGAACGGGGAGAAAGTTTCCGTCGTCTGAGCACTGAGGAGCCGAGCGAGGAGACGACGAGTGAAGGAGCCCACGCGACAGGACCAGGCAGGGACCGGGACCTGCCAAACACGACAGGTGAATGTACGCGCGCGCAGACAGGTGACGTGTTTCTGTCCGCACCAACGTCGGGTCCAACGGGTCAGAGAAACGGACGAAGCCTCACTGAGCTTCATTTGACTGAAACTGAGTCACAGCGACACCGACGAACAGTGACCGACAGGTGACCGACAGGTGACCGACAGGTGTGGCAGGTGTGGCAGGTGAGGTGTCAGGTGTGTCAGGTGAGGTGACAGGTGTGTCAGGTGAGGTGTCAGGTGTGGTGACAGGTGAGGTGTCAGGTGTGGTGACAGGTGCAGTGACAGGTGCAGTGACAGGTGACTCACATGTCTCAGGTCGTCCTCTTTGTCTGGTCCCGTAGATCTCGGTCCCGTCCAGGTCCAGGTGTGTCAGGTGTGTCAGGTGAGGTGTCAGGTGAGGTGTCAGGTGTGGTGACAGGTGAGGTGTCAGGTGTGGTGACAGGTGCAGTGACAGGTGCAGTGACAGGTGACTCACATGTCTCAGGTCGTCCTCTTTGTCTGGTCCCGTAGATCTCGGTCCCGTCCGGGTCGACGCACCAGCACTGCCCCCTGCTGGAGTCACACTGCACAGACTCGTACTGACCCGAGGACGAGCAGCGCAGGGTCGACTGCCGCTGACAGGGGGTGGCACCTGTCACGGACGGGCGACACACGACGGGTGAGACGGAGTAAAGGGGTAAAGTTCCAGAGTGGAGCTTTAGACTCACAGTGAGGAGCGGAGTTGTCGGTTCGAGTCCCGCTCAGCTCCCGTCCCTCGGCGTCCACGCACCAGCACTGCCCCCTGCCGGAGTCACACTGCACCGGGCTGTGGGAGCAAGCACCTGTCAGACACCTGTCACACCTGTCACACCTCTCACACCTGCCAACAGTGGCTCAGAGCCGCAGGAAATGTACAAGTAGAAGAAGAAAGTAAAAGAAATGACTCGAGTCACTTAAAGAGGTGCATTTACCTCTGTGACAGGTGCGACGGGTGTGACAGGTGCGTCAGGGGAGGTGTGATGTGCATGTGTATTTATGGAGAGTTGTGGTGTGGGAGGATGGGGGCGGAGCCTCGTACAGACTCTGAGGGTTTGAATAGAGCTCAGGAGAGATCACTAGATTACACAGACATGCATGAGTCTAAAACCTGCTCAAGTTTGTGATGAGGAACATTAGAACACGAGAGAAAGAAACTTTTACAGAGCACCTGTCGGGCCTTTACAGAGCACCTGTCGGGGCCTTTACAGAGCACCTGTCGGGCCTTTACAGAACACCTGTCGGGCCTTTACAGAGCACCTGTCGGGCCTTTACAGAGCACCTGTCGGGGCCTTTACAGAGCACCTGTCGGGCCTTTACAGAGCACCTGTCGGGGCCTTTACAGAGCACCTGTCGGGGCCTTTACAGAGCACCTGTCGGGCCTTTACAGAGCACCTGTCGGGGCCTTTACAGAGCACCTGTCGGGCCTTTACAGAGCACCTGTCAGGGCCTTTACAGAGCACCTGTCGGGCCTTTACAGAGCACCTGTCGGGGCCTTTACAGAGCACCTGTCGGGGCCTTTACAGAGCACCTGTCGGGCCTTTACAGAGCACTGTCGGCCTTTACAGAGCACCTGTCGGGGCCTTTACAGAGCACCTGTCGGGCCTTTACAGAGCACCTGTCGGGGCCTTTACAGAGCACCTGTCGGGGCCTTTACAGAGCACCTGTCGGGGCCTTTACAGAGCACCTGTCGGGGCCTTTACAGAGCACCTGTCGGGGCCTTTACAGAGCACCTGTCGGGCCTTTACAGAGCACCTGTCGGGCCTTTACAGCACCTGCCTTTACAGAGCACCTGTCGGGCCTTTTACAGAGCACCTGTCGGGCCTTTACAGAGCACCTGTCGGGGCTTTACAGAGCACCTGTCGGGGCCTTTACAGAGCACCTGTCAGGGCCTTTACGGAGCCTTTACAGAGCACCTGTCGGGGCCTTTACAGAGCACCTGTCGGGGCCTTTACAGAGCACCTGTCGGGCCTTTACAGAGCACCTGTCAGAGGGGGAAAAATCCCCAAATCTGGAGTTTTCAAAGAGACAAAAATGAGACAAACTGAATCAGAAGGAAAAACACAAATGTGAGAAACATTTAGACACAACAGGAATAAAAGTACTTTTACTGGAGTAAAAGTACTTTTACTCTATTATGGGGGGTCATGGTCTAGTTCGGGGTCTGGGTCGTGGTCTGGGTCTTGGTCTGGTTCTGGGTCTTGGTCTGATTTTGGGTCTGGGTCGTGGTCTTGGTCTGGGTCTTGGTCGTGGTCTGGGTCGTGGTCTGGTTCTGGGTCTTGGTCTGGGTCTGGTTATGGGTCTCGGTCTGGTTCTGAGTCTTGGTCTGGGTCTTGGTCTGGTTCTGGGTCTTGGTCTTGGTCTGGTTCGGGACCCGCGGTCAGGGGGGCGAGTCTGTGTCGTACCTGAAGTGTCCGTCCACGGTGCACTGAAGTCCAGGTCTAGAACCAGACTCTCTGAGTCTCTCACAGGGACTGAGCCGGTCCTCCAACTGGTACTCTACACACCACAGAACCGGGTTAGAACCAGGACTAAACCAGGACTAAACCAGGACTAAACCAGGACTAAACCAGGATTAAACCAGGACTAAACCAGGATTAAACCAGGACTAAACCAGGACTAAACCAGATATAACCCAGAACTAAACGAGAACTAAACCAGGACTAAATGAGAACTAAACCAGGTCTTACCGGAGGGTCTGGCCCACAGTGGGGCCGAGCAGAGGCTGATCAGGACCCAGGTGAGGGCCTTGGTCCGGTCCATGGTTCTGGTCAGGATCTGAGTCTTGGTCTAGACCTGGTCTCTTTATAAAGACCTCAGAGCGCTGAGTCACCCTGAGTCCACAAGGTTCTCATGGTCCAGCGAGTCAGAACCGAGAGTCCTCCACGCCGCGCTCTGATTGGCTGAGCTCAGGAGAGCCCTCCACGCCGCGCTCTGATTGGCCGAGCAGCTGTGGTACTTTTCCACAGTAAAATCCCAACTCAGGGAAAATCAAACCCAGAGAGAAAAAGAACAGAGGCCCACGGGCCGAATACGGCCGACAACCACCCTCTGACCGGACCCTCTGCCCCCCCAGTACTGTGTACTACAGTACTGTAGTACACTGTGTACTACAGTACTGTAGTACACAGTACTGGGAGAGTGTGGATGTGGATGTTTGTTTTTCTGTGCCTGATGTAAATAAACTCTTTTGTTTTATATTCTGTGTCTGTGTCGTATATCTGGGTCGGTTCTGTTTAGTCCTGGTTTAGTTCTGGTTTAGTCCTGGTTTAGTTCTGGTTTAGTTCTGGTTTAGTCCTGGTTTAGTTCTGGTTTAGTTCTGGTTTAGTTCTGGTTTAGTTCTGGTTTAGTTCTGGTTTAGTTCTGGTTTAGTCCTGGTTTAGTCCTGGTTTAGTTCTGGTTTAGTTCTGGTTTAGTCCTGGTTTAGTCCTGGTTTAGTTCTGGTTTAGTCCTGGTTTAGTCCGTTATCCGTTTTTCCTTTTTGGTTTTAAATAATGTGAAAAACAAGCTGTTTTTTTGTTTTCTTATTTTTGGTTTTATTTTGAAAAACGAATGAAACACAGAGATTTACATAATTACACCTTTAAAAAAAAAAAAAAGTCACATTTTATTTTTTATAATATAATAATATTTTTCAAAACTATTTCTACAGAAACAAAGAACAGAAACAGATGCAGCTGTTTTTTTTTTTGTTGGTGATGAAGCTGAAGCTGAAAGACACGAACAATATTTGATGAAGTAAAACTTCAACAATTATGATTAAAACAATTTAAACTTTAAACCATTAAATGAATCAAACAGTTAAAGCCTCAGTCACATGTTCAGTCCAAGTCCAGGTCCAAGTCTAAGTCCAGGTCTAAGTCAAAGTCTAAGTCCAGATCTAAGTCCAGATCTGAGTCCAGGTCTCAGGGGAATCTGAACAGGTCTAACTCCAGGCCGTCTGAGGTCGTCATTCTTCGCGCTCGGACCTGAAACAACAGGACATAAAACATCCACAGGTCACAAAAACCAGGACTAAACCAGGACTAAACCAGGTCTAGACCAGGTCTAGAGTCAGTACCTTGCAGTAGCAGTAGGACATTGGGAGGATGTACAGGAGCTTCAACAGAAGAATCACCACGACTCTGATGATCAGGTCTGAGTCTGACTCTGCAACACAAAAGAACCAAGATCAGACCAGGACCAGAACCAGGACTAAGACCTCTACAGGTTTCGTGTTTATGGAACCTGTTCATACACACGTGGATTTCATCATGTCTTCACTGTCAAATATTTCTACTGCACTTTGAAAACACGATTCAGTTTGGAAACATGCGACTGGTGTTTTGTTCTGAACAGAACGACTCCTCCAACACTCAAAAGGAACATCTGAACATCTGAACATCTGAAGGCAAGAACAGAGTGGTCACTTATGAAGCAGAGGTGTTTCCTGAAGCGGATCCAGATACTCTCAAACGCCTTCTTCTCTATGAGCTTCCAGACTTACCTTTACTCAAAATGAAGCTCCACAACAATGTTCTTGTGAGGAGACGGCAGATCAGGTTTCCTGAAGAATGTGAGACATTTAGGCTGTGAATATCTGCCAACGTCCAGAACTAAATGAAGACCTGTGAAAGATGTGTCAAGTGGAAAGCACAACCTGAAAAGGCAGCTCCAACATAAAGACAACAAGACCCTTGGAACTTATGAGCATGGACTTTTCATCACTGGAACCAGAACGAAACAAGACCAAAGACAAGACTAAATGTCTGTGGGATCATTTTCTGGTGCACTATGGGATTCCTGAGACGCTCCACAACGATAAAGGACCTGATTTTGAGCACCACCCCTTGTCCGCAGCCTTTTGGACTCCTTAAAGGATGAAGACAAGACTCACTGGGAAGACTTTGTTAAACCACTGGCTCACACATACAGTTGTTCCTGGAGCGATGTTATCGGATTCTTCCCACATGAGCGAATGTTCGGACACCAGACACACCTGCCAGTAGATCTCACATTTGTCCTGTCGTTGGTACCAGCACGTTGACTCGATCAAAGTCCACCCTGAAGAGAGCTACAGAAATGCTGCTGAGAATTCAGAGGGTGATGCAGAGAAACAAAGAAAGACTGGATAAGAATCTCATTCCTTCAGAGCGGTCATGATCTTGTACTGGTGAAGAATGTACGGGTAAGAGGGAAGCTCAAGCTTGCAGATCGATGAGAATCAGAGGTGCACGTTGTGACCAAGCGAGCTGGAAGTCTTCTGGTCTACTCTGTCAAGTCTGAAACCAAAGATCAGTTTGTCCGAACACTGCACAAAGACCTTCTTTTACTTTGTGGCTTCCTCTCTGCTCCAGCCAAGACAGTCAAGCACAAAGTGACTCACTCGTCAACTCCACTGATCCCAGACTCTGTAGATCTTCCTGACAATCCTGCAACAATGATGAACTGACAACCTCCGGTTTTCCTCCTTCCATCTCAGAGGTCACCAGATACACATCTGTGATCTGTGAGTGATCTGCCGGCTTCAGGACTCACTGCACGTCCAGTTTCTTCAGTGATCCAGCCTGACCAGCTGTCACAGTCAGATACAGAGGAGAATGTCAGATCTGAAGTGGAGCCGCGGCATAAATGAGATGTTTGATCATGAACCAGAACAAGAACCTGACCTACCTGAACCAGACTCTGAAAGTACTTACCTTGAACCTGCTGCAGCCCTGACTCCTGAACAAAGTCCTCTCAATCTCCAGAGCCTGTACACATCATTTCTGAATCTTCGTCACCCACAGAGGGAGACCTTGAACTGTCGGGCCCAGAAACCGATCCACCAGCTCCACCCCCAATGAGAACACGCTGCCCTCCAGATCAACTGCAGT